TTATACAGGAATTGCACACAGCTGCAAAATCAGGTTAACTTGTTCGGCTGCAAGTTCATTTACTGTCAAATCCATTAATTTCCTGATTTAAATTCAATAAAGAATTATTATTTCAAATTATACTGAGCTCAATTTTATATCTAAAGTTGAGGTCCTGAAAAATTTTAACTCAATGCTCCAACACTTAGCAAATGAAATCACTGAAAAGTCTGAATCTGAAGTGCCACTATTTTTTTAGGTTGTTCAATTAGAAAAAGAAAACAGTTCACATTTGGTTAAAGAATCTGCAACACAGTTAAGAGTATTGGAAAATAAGCTGATACAAGCTCAGCGTGAAAGGCAACAAGTAATGACTTTTTGACTTTCAATATTCCTTTATTTATAAATTTATTTTGTATTACAAAAGGTTTGTTGACTCAATCAAAATTTTCATACCTTATTTATCGATTAATTAAGATCAGTTTTGTCGGAGAATTTTTAATTGCTCTTAAGTATCACTCAGATGTCTAAATTAATTTAAACTGCACATGAAAAATTAATGAGTGTGAATATATGAGGAACTTGTTTTTACTTGATATTTAAGGTTCCCGCTTATGTTTACTCAGAATAGCAGGTACCAGGCAAAGTAATAATTTCTCCCATCTTATTGTCTTTCGCTTTTAATATGAAAATTTCAATCAGTTTTTTTTTTTTTTTTTTTTTAGGTTGAACAACTTCTTGAGCAGCGAGAATTAGCATATGCACAGAAGATTAAGCTGTTCGAGTCAAAAATACTAGTGCTTAAAGAGCAATTGGATACGGAGCGGAAAAGGCGGTTGGAGGTCATGGAACGAACAGCGGTTGTTCAGCGAAATCAACTAGAATTAAGGTCAGACTTGGATGATTCTGTTTCATCAGTACACCGGCTTTCACTTCACCTTCCAGAACGTTACGAGCTACCTACTGAAGCACGAATTCGAGCACATAGTTTGAGCAGTAACTCTTTCACATACTGAAACTTGAAATTTATCACGAAAAATCATTATCTAAAGTTTCTCCTCTTTACTTACTTACATCATTGATTTTTGGGAACCTCCTAGTTGCAAGTCTTTTTTGCTTATCTTTGACAAAATTTCTGCCACACGCTAAAAGTTGACAGCTTGCCTATTTATTGGCTCTGTATTTTACTTCATGCATGCATGATGAATGGATTTATAACTTAGAATTTTCCAGAGATGGATAATAAAATTTTAGTACTGATTCCCTGCTAAAATTCATTTCTATTAAACGAAATCTTTTCATACTTTTTTCACATTTTGTAATTTAAGTGTTTAATTAATCCATTTCACTATAGAAAATGTTGAAAGTAACACATATTTTTCCAGAGATCAATTTTGTGCGTGAAATAGCAGTTTTCCCTCTTAGTTTCTGCCCTATTCAAGTGAATTAGGAATTCTTTTCGGGTCTTAATGAGTTTTGCTTAAATTAGCCAATATTTCTCATACAGTTAGGACACGGTGTTATTAAGCAAAATTATGATTTTTGGATTAGAGGACCAAATATCCTAGAATCAATAGATAGCTGTTACAAAGATTGACTCTCTTTTTAGAATATTTTATCAGAATAAAAAATTTCCCTGTACGGTACAGCAAGTTTCAGGCTGTATCGACAAATTAGACGAAATGAAACAAGTGCCTCAAAGAATTAGAGCAAAAAATGAAATCACTGTTATGGTTTCTTTCTTCTTATAGTACATTTGCAGTCTATTTATGCAAAAAAGAAGTATGAATTTGTTCTAACTATGGTTTAACTTTTTAAAGGTTGTAAGTTAGGATCAATACATTTCACGTTTTCTTTGTAAGTAGGACTTTAATACGTGATTTGAATTTAATATTTACCAGTAGAATCATAAGGAAATAATTATAATTTGAAAGAAATATGATGTTGCTATTGCTAATGCATTAAAATATATGGAATGGTAAAAGTAGATTTTCATGTCTGACTGCCAGATCTCTTATTATTTACTAAGTAAATTTGCTGAATTAGGACATATGTTTAAAGCAACATTCAATACATCGTGATCATAATTTGACCTTTCTATATAAGTAATTATTTTCAACTTACAGCTTAAAATGCTTACATGCTTTACAAAACTTTCATTTAGTTCATCTGGATTTTTTTTTCTTTTATTTTCAAAATTCTTTGGAATGATCTGGCTTTCAGTTGTGTCTTATTAGAATATGCGCAAATGCATCCGCTTATGATTTGTCTATTTTGTGCATGAAAATTGTTTGCTTTCCAATAACTTTATCAATTTCTAGTCAGTAGGTCAGCAACTTATCAACGTTTCATTTTTAGTTAGGCTACAGCTAACTTTTTTGGAGTTGTCCCAGCAGGTGCTATTTGTTGTTAGTCGGAGAATACAATAGCATAGTAACAATTCCATTCGACATGTTGTTGTCAGATCCTAGAAGTCCAACAACTATTGTCATTGGGCATTGCAATTGATCATTTCAAAAAATTCTATTTTGGACGGTTTTCTGAAATTTGTTTTTGAAAAAGTAATTGATATGAAAAGTTAATCCTAGGCTACAACGATGGCAATATTCTACGACATCGATCTGTACCGCTGTTTAGACAATATTTATATGGCAATTCATCCTAAGATCTCTTTAAAAAAAATGCTTTAAATCCTTTGATTTATTATTACTATCTGTTTGTTATATATTTATTTGTTATCAGTATCTGTGTATTGCATATGCATTGTATTTTATTTCTGACTAAGTTCTGAGTTTGGAAGTGATCTTGGAAGAACTTGAAAATCATGTCTCTCGTTGTGTGTTTCCAATGTAAAGATATCTTCCCTTATTTTTGGAAGTGGTATTCAACTATCCCTGCTTTCTTTAATTAATGTTTGAAAGTTTTCCTGGAATAATTAATGATGATTCGTTTTAGTTTTAAAGGAAGCTTAGACATGGGTTCTACACTATTTTGTTTTCATGTTTTTGAGAACTTGTTCAGTATGGTTTATCAGAATTTTGTTTTAAAAAATTCAAGCTTGAAATTCCTAAGATTTGAGTAAAGTTTAGTTGTTTTTGTGATAAATTGAAATTGAAATTTATTTTGCTTAAGCAAAATATTCTGTTTATCGTGTGTGTGTTTATGTGATATATAAGAGATGGTTATATGATCTATCTGCCAAAAGTATTCCTGCCAAATGTACACGTATGACGCATTTATCTATGGATCTCTTATGATTATCGGTAGTTCGTATTTATTTGTTTGGTTACATACTTCCTTATCTCTCTTTATTGTTTACTATGTTAATTGTTTATCGGTGAAACCATACAATGCAAATAAATGTTTTTCATATGGATTTATTCAAGTTTGTTTTCTAAAATGGAGTACACTGATTTTATTCTGTCATCTAACTTTCTGAAATGATATTAGAAATCATCAGATAGACAGGAATTTTCGAAAACATGTATCTACATTAATGTATACTTAATATGCAGTAGAAAGTGAAGCAAATGGTATCATAAGTAGTTGAAAATTTCAAACGGTCAAAAGATTTGAGTAAATTTTGAGTAGTTTTTTAAAAAATCTCTTCCTTGTAGTGGAAAAAGAGTCATTAGAAATCTTTTTTTTTCTCTCTCTCTCTCTCTCCCTCTCAAAAGAATTCATATTTCTCCTAATTTCAGCCTGACTTTATACAAATTTTAAAATAACTAGGTAGAGGGAGAAATACAAGAAATTAGCATGAAATGAAGTCATTTTCAAAAGTGCTCATTTTGTATGTAAAATTCGGCCAGTACAAGTAGTGAATATTGTTGACACAGCCAGCACATTTCATGCATTCTACAAATTATTTATTTTTTAACTCATTAAATTATTCAGCGCAAAAAAAGAAAAATCTTCATAATTTCTGTATAGGAACCTCCCATCGTTTTTTTCAGATTTAAATTTCCAGGGAATATTGAATTGAAGTTGAACTAAAAACACTTACAAAATGATTTCGATAATGTCTGTTAAATGTATCCTGACATTTAAGCATATCATCGATAAGAAAGATAAGGAAGAGTGATTAGATGTTTGGATTGATAAAATGATGTTCAATAGCTTATTGGTCTTTATTGTCATAGTTTTTCTATGATTATTCTTCCAAATACTTTTAAGAAAGATTAATTTTAGAATTTGCAACTTATATTCTTCACATTATGCGATAGCAATAAATCTTTCTGATTTGTTTGATTCATTCCAGTTAAGAAATGCTCGCTTTCAATATTTAATTTAATTTAACAATGTATTGTGAACTATGTATAAATGTTATTTAAAAACATTTATAATGGTATTGGGTTAACCTGATGGAAAATAATAGATTCTGAAATCTATAAAGCAACTGCTGGATTTATTATATTTTAGTAGAATAGCCTCATTTATGTATCATTTCCTGGCTTTATTAACATGCTTCATGAAACTTGTTTTTTCCAATATTCAACACATTTTCTTGTAAATTTTCTTCATCAAACACGGAGTTTCATGAGAATATTAAAATTTTGAAATTGGTCGATGTTGTTGAATTTTATGAAGTTATACAGAGCCCATAATTATATTTAATTAATGCGACTCAGTGTTATGTTATACACATTCCATTGAAGAAGAGATATAACGTTTGCGCATAATGGCCGTGGTGATATATGTGTCTCTGAAGCTATAAGTACTCGAGCGAATTGTTTACAGCTTTCCGTCAATTGTGCCGTACTTTTTTGCTGCTTGTCTTATGTGTTTGTTTTTTTGCATTTTATTCACTGATTTATTAATTCAATTTTTGCTTAATGGAGAATGAAACATGTGTTTTAGTGAAGTGAAAAGTTTTTTGTAAATTTTATGTTTATCTATGTTCTTGAAGAATTTCAAATTCTATTTTTCAAAAAATTATTTTCAGATAAATACTGTTCGAAGAAGCTTTTGTGGATTCAAGAAGTGTTTTCTTTTTCGATCGCACATGTTTCCTGTACTGAATGTATATAATCAAACGCGATATGCACAATTTATTTGCTTTATTTCTAATTCTTATTGCATCAGAATCAGTGGCCAAAGTTAAAGATGTAAGTCATTCTTACATCAGTACATCTGGATAATGTTGAAACTTTTACTTCACGGTATATCAAAATATCAAAATGCACTGTAATTCTTGATAAGAAGCGGTATAGTTTCTTTCAGGTTACATTTCAATAGATTATGTTGTGCATATTGAGGCGCTGGCATTTTTCTTTTGATACTTTATAGAAAACCTTTACACAAGAGAATTGGACTTATTAGAGTTAATTTATTGACGATTTAGTTAATGAGATTGATAGACAGAAAGTATTGTAATTTTTTAGAGTTGAATTTGAAGTTGCAAAGATCGAATAATTCTTAGTGGTTGTACCTCTATCCTAGCAGAATTATTTTGGGAATTGAGTATGCTTTAAAAAAAAGGCACCGAAATATGAACTTAATTGTTAGATCTAAAAGTGCTAGCCAAGTATTCAAAACAGTCGAACCGGAGAAGTGTCAAAGTTAAATAGTTAGTTTATTAGAAACGTTTTTGTTTATGACAAGAAATACCTATAGAAAATAAGTGAGAAAAAGTATGTTTTCTTTGGAAATTATTTAGGTTTGTCATAATAATAGAAAATGATAATTTGTGATCAATGTGTTTTAAATTTAGTGTTATTCCATAGAATCGGAAAGCACAGTTATCAAAATATTTATCTAAATAAAGCTGCAGACGGAGACTTTGGAGCAATGAAAAGACATGATTGATGAAAGAAAAAATCTGTAGATCGTTGACCAAGTTATTGAAACTGATGTACCAGTTCCATTTTTTTTTTTTCTTTTTGCATTGCACTGGATAAAACAAGAAGTTGCATATATCTCTAACACTCTGAGAGTGTAACATAGCATATTGAAATGGCCAATGAAATTTAGTCATGTAAACACAAATTTTTTATACTGCAGACAGTAGTTCTATACAGTTACAAGTTAGCTAAGTTGGGTTTGCTGAAATCAGAGCAGTCACTTCTATTGAATTTCATGTTTATTCTTTTTTACTTGACCATATAGAAATCGGTACACTTATTTTAGGATAATGTTTATTCAAAGAAAGGAAGAAAGATTTTGGGCCAGTTTCTAAATAATAGAGTTTTGTCTAATATTTGATATTCAGTAACGATATATGTGAGAAATAACTTTTTTTTTCATAATGAAACATTTTTAGATTGTCCAGTCTCATTCATCTACTATCGTTGGTGGAACATTGCTGGTATCTACTATTGATGGTTATCTCAAAGGAATTGACTTTCATAGCGGGGAAGTCAAATGGTCTTTGAAGGAAGGTAAGTTAGTCTCTGTTTCTTGATAATATTGGTATTTTAGAAAGAACTGATTCTAATGTCTGAAAAAGACTGATTGAAAGAAAATTTTTGGGAAGGACTGATTTTAACGTGATGGTTACAACATCCAGATGATGAGGTTATCTTTTTTGTTTTTTGTTAATTCCGATAGATGAGAATATATGATTTGAAGTGTTAGATGCATAAGGATTACAAAAAATAAGTTATGAAAAAAAAGAGTTTTACCAACAGTTTAATGAAATATATCGAATGGCATTTTTCGTCAATTTGGATAAAGTTTTAGATCCAGTACTAATATCTCCAAAAACCATTCGACATGGTTTCACCTTTATACCAGATCCGCAAGATGGTGGTTTATATATATTGAAAGATGGCCAGTTAAAGAAGTTGCCATATTCCATTCCACAGCTTGTTGCTGCTTCACCTTGTCGAACTATGGATGGTGTTCTTTATGCAGGTTAAAAAAAATCAATGGTTTGAAAATTTGCCTATTGCTCGTATTGTGGCCTTAAGCGAAAATTTGGATCGAAACGAATATTTTTGTGTACGGTGTTATTTGAGTAATCTCTTATGTTTGATGACAGCTGGTATTCATTTTACAGGAAGCAAGAAAGATGTGTGGTTGGAGATTGATTCAACTAAAGGAATAAAATTGGGGGAGTTATCGCAATCGCAAACAAATTCCCAGTGCCCGCTTAATAAAAATACCAGTATTTTGATTGGAAGGTTGAATATTCATTCATTAAATCTTTTCATGTATATCACTAAATGTTGCTTCTCACTGGACAATATTTTTAACTAGCTGTGTTTAAATAAATCTTTGAACTGAGCTTGTAAAATAACGGTTGAAAATAACATCGTGTTTAGTGAGGTAGACAAATCAGTCGATTCTGGAATTCTTCCTTTTTAGATCAGAATACAAATTAACAATGGTAGATCCAGAAAATCGAGATAGACGATGGAATGCAACGTATACCGATTATTCAAATCATCTCTTGCCTGGTTAGTTATGAAATTATAAGCATAATATATAAATACATCTTCGTAATTCCTTTTAACATTGGGGTTTACACGAGTGATAAAATAAGTGAATGGTGAATGCAGTTATTAGTAATCATACTGGTAGAGTTCGATACAATGTGATATAACTAATAATTTATAAATTACTCTGTAATTTATAAAAACTTTAATCTATACAAAGCAACCAGCAAAGAATTGTTGGTTATCTTTAGCTGACCCTTCATATCCGTTTCAACACTTTACGAGTACTGTGGGTGGTCGACTGCTAGCAGTGAATGCAGCAGAAGGAAGTGTAGCTTGGGAGTTGGATGTAGGAAATACTGTGGTTGCAATGTATATACTTCAAAACGATGGCTTACATAGATTACCATATACAGTTATTGGCAAGGAAACATTGGAGGAGTTTGTAAAGGTAATACATTCAATAATATGTGAGATAAATTTCATGATATAGAAGAAATGAAGTTTTTTAATAAATAAACAACAGAAATTTTATTAGACTAATGTTAGTGCAGTTAAAATCTTAAATGTTAGTTTGAACGAAATTTCACGTGACAGTAATGATATCAAGTATACTATGAAATTTGATAATCAACAATCAGAAAGTTTTGAGTCCAGGTTGAATTTTTTCAGACTTTGCTGTTTTCTTAAAACGCTACGACCTTATCTTCTATATACTAACTAATAGGGATTAATACTATTCACTCTTATCTCCTTCTCCTCGACCTCGTATTTCTTCTTTTCTATTTACTGTACTTTAAAACTAATGACTGTAGAGTTTTTATTTGTGCATTTTTAGTTCTGGAACATTATAGACAATAACAACTATATGTGAAAGTTTCCTCAGGGAAACATTCAAATGTTGTGCATACTTTTTCACGTCTTTCTTCATTTTCCTTCTTTTTTGCATGTCTGGTTTACATATTTCTTATTTCTTATGTTAGCTTTATTTTTGCAGCTTTACTTGTAGTATATAGTTTATTATTAAAGTATTTTTTTTTAAAAAAAAGGAAAATTTTGGAGAAAAAACTTTAAGAATCTGTTTTCTGGATCAAGAAAGTCATATTGATGCTGTTTTGATTTTATGGTTGGCATTTTTATTCTTATATTCATTATTGCTATTTAATGAGTGGACTACATTTATTTAGAATTATATTTTTAATTAATTTAATCGTAGGCTGTCATCATTTATGTTATGAGGAACACGATACATTCTCACCATTTCATCTTTTTCTGGTATCATTTTCTTGATATTTGCCTGTTTTTCCACCACTTTTCTGCCAGATTTGCCATTCTATTGTCAGTCATTTTTGTCACCACTACTATGTTCCCAACTTTCGTTTTCTTGTTTTTCTTCCGTAATTTCTTCCTCATCACTTTCATTCATTTCATCATCTTCATCTTCCTCTTCATAATCGGCTTCATTGTATCCAGGTACTTGGAAATATAACCCAGAGTTCTCTTTTCTCCTGACCATATAACCATGTTCTGGGCATAATGCGTTCATTAACTGAAATGATGAATTCGTAGTACAAGAATTTCAAGCTATTCCGTGTTGCCCTTAGTTATTTGAAACTGTTGATCTACTAGTGCATAATATGTCACCTGAAGCTCTTATATCAGATTGTTTTTATTATTATTATTTTTTTTTTGCGTTTTGCGTTCTGCTACCTGACACTAACGGATGGAAACAGACTCTGTTATCCTTAAATTAAAAAGAAAAAAATCTTGGCTAACTTGGATCTTCCCGTTTTCATAAATACATTCGCATGGTAAATCGACACCAGGCGGAAGATACTTGGATTTCTTATGTGATAGGCTGGCTTCATCTTCCATCAGTTCTTGTTCATTTTGGCCTGATAATACATATAAGTTAGACGTATTGACTACTAATTGGCAGTACTGATTACATTTGCTGCATCAATTTACGTTTGGATTGTTTTGCTTGATAATACATTACTTCTTAATGATGGTGTAGAGATATGTAGCTTATCTGACGGTGTCCTCATTCTGATTACTTTCGTCCTGATGGACGAAACTGTTGAAAATGATGTTGATAGAGATCGTTTGACATATCTTGGATACACACTTGGCTGACATAATTTCCCAGTAGAAGAACTGAAATTTGACTATTATAAGGAAAGTAACTGTTTCAGCGTAGTAAAACTAATATTCCCACATCATCGCAGTGATATTTGTCAGTTGAATAATGTCTTTAGAAATTTTTTTCTGACTTACATTACAAGCCTTAAATTCAAGTTGAGTTAGATTATTTAATGTTTCCGCTATTATTTCTATAAACCGGAAATGCTTGTTCTCACATTTGATCCTTATCATTATTTGAAAGCTTACCTTTCTTAGTTTCTTTTTATTTAACCTAAACAAACTTGCCTTTTCCGCTTTCTAACATATGCTTGCACTGTATATACAATTAAGGCAAGGATTTCCATTAAACTGACCACGGATGCACCTATCCAAAGGCCTGTGAGACCACCCAAATCAGCTAAAGCACTTGTAAGCTGAAAAGTCAATAGTGTATGGTGCTCTCGTTTATTTTAGTGGACATTTTTGTTTGGTTCCGAAATAACTCAGAAATTAAAGGGTAATGGTTACTTATTTATGGTAAGCAAACTTACAGTGTAAGCAGGTGTTTCGGTAAGTGTTTCATAGTTCAACTCTTCATAAAAAACTTGAACCATTGCAGCATTTCTACGATACCGCTCCATGCAGAGATCATCCACAGCATCACATTCCATGACTTTTGTTGTCCCAGAAGGCCATCGAGCGGCTGAGTATGTAACTTCATAGTTCACTTCCCTATTTATGGACGAAATTTTAAAGTTTTCAATTACAAAACGAAGATCGAGTTACTAACTTTAAAATCATTTTGATTAAGGATTCGTGATTTACTGTAGGGTCTAAGCTTTCTTATGGCACACCAGTTCCACCAAAAGAAGTAAAATTTTAATATTTAAACTTCTAAAGATATAATATTTTTTGTTAAGAGATACAGAGGTGTTTCAGTGCAGAAAGCAGTTTCTTTCAACACATTTAGGCTGCATCTTATCCTAGACTATCGGTTATAAGCTTAGAACATTCACTTGTTCATCATTAATGGCCTTTTAAGCAACAGATCGATTTTTTCGAAAAATTACTTACGAGCAAGGTTGGTGGCACACACAATCGGCTAGATTCCCTTCGCTAATTAGACGACTGGAGTGTAGTGTAGCATTTTTGATGCATTCCCGAGCAATGTGATCACTAACTTTACATGATGTTGCTGTATTAGGTATCGGATAAGCGGGATTTGCGCAACCACATATGCGATTAACCTCTTTTTGAGTACAAGTTCGATGACATCCCTAAAATTTCAAGAAAAAAGTGTCAAAATGTGTGCAAAAATTGGAGAATTTAATAACTGATTTCAGTTTTTACCTCAGTGGAGTAATTGAATCCAGGATATATGGTATCCAGGTTGCCTTTATTGTCTTCCAAACATTGACCATGTGGCGGGACAAGTCTGTTGAATTTTTTCTAAAAATATCCAATTGCAGTTAGAAATTTAAGTCACTTTTGAAAAATTCTAATCTTTCGGAACTGCAGAAAGAGTTCCACTTCTGTTACGAATCTCATCATTTGTTTTCTCAAATATTTCTAACATTATGACTAAAAGTTACGATTTACATGACTTACCATTCGGACTCCGAAGGAAGACAGGAAGCCAGTTGGTGCATTGTAGCCAAACGCATCCGGAAATGGTACCACCCACTTATCATGAACGGTTATCCGGAAACCCACGGATTCTGATGTTGGCAAGTATTCGGAAGTATCGGCATAGAGTAATACACGCAGACCTATGGGGTTAGTATTCTTGAAGGTCGTTTAGCATTTGTAGTGCTACGGTAGTATGTTGGCAGTTTTATATGGTACAAGTTATTTATTCTATTTCTTTAATAGATTTCCTCAAAGCAGGAAGATTTTTGATAAAATTTTCGAGAGAATGGTGCCAGATGTAGTACTGAATTTCACTGATTATAAAAAATGAATGTAAAATGAATAGCAGGAATTTGTTTTTTTTTTTTTTGAATTTCTGTTTTTTATAGCTAAATTTCTATTTTTATCGTTAAGGAGGGAAGTTAACCATACGTATTCCTTTTTGCAAATTAAGGTTTTTGTTTAGTACAGAAATCGTGCCACTTTTACTAACACTTTAAGTGCTGAGAAAAAAAAAATTCAATTTAATCTATTAAACTAAAATTATTTTCACTGTAATATACCAAAGTTAGCACCGGCCTGGTGAGCTGTTACTTGTTTGGTACGATTCCAGTTGAATGTGTAGCAGTTGCCATATGTTTGGTCATAATGTAATTTAAAATCGCTGCAAACCATATATATGAAAAATTGAACTGGATAATCACTGACTATTTTACAAACGTAAGAAGTTGTATAAATTGGGGATGACTAGTAGTTCCAATGGATTAAAAATGAATTTCCTAGCTTAGAAATGACTTATGAAATCCTATTAGCGTTGGTGAAATCTCGAAAATATAAGATTATATCTCCAAATCTCCAAACAGCTTTTTGTAGAAATTTGTATTATAAATCGAAATATCTTCACTTATTCATCCTTGATTTGCTTTTTATAATTTTCTGGAATTCCTTCGAAATTAACTCACTTTTCAATGTCGCAATCTTTTTGATTGAAAGAACATTTTAAGATGAGTTCATCTTTTTGTTGCGACATCTTTACTTTTGTTTCATAATTTAGTTCACCAACAGCAAACATCAAATTCTCTTTGGCTTGCTCTTTAATAGCTATTTCATCAGTCAGCCCCTATAAAAGAATACTACATCAAATAGAAGGAAATGAAAAGATATCATGTCTTTCATTCTTCCTTTTTTCGTCCTGGATTGTTTTTCTTCAGATATGGCTTGAAATTTCGTTTTTTCAGTCAATCTCTTTTTAATTGAATGAATGTAACCAGTAAAGTTAAGTCTATCGAAGACAAACATTAAGATTCTAGACTTTGATTGAAGAATTGAAATATCTGGATATTAAAGAAAGAACGAGGTTTCATTTTTTAGATTTCTTAAAAAACGATAAACCTCAAATCCTAGAGCCTTTTTAAGTTCTGCTGCTTGAGTGGTAGTAGTAGCAGCAGTGGTCGTAATAGTACGTGGTTTCGTCGGTCTGAAAAATTCCGAAATATTCAGTGCGAAAATATCCGTTGTTTGTTTGATTTCTAGGATATAACCATATTCGTTGTTTGCAATACAATGATTATATTCGCGATGGCACAGACATTCCTTCCGTCTGGGATATTTTGTTTGTTCCTCACCGACTTTCCCTTCGAAAAATTTCATCGGGCAGTGACCCAGATTTTCGAGACATACTTTACATACTCGTTCATTCCATGTATTATCTGAATGTAGGCAAATGTTTTGGATTTAAAGTCAGCAAGATAATTGTTGATTAGTTTGTATAACAAAGAAATAAAGAAATATGGGAAAAAGCTAAAGACGGAAGATAGTCATAGGAAGTGAAGTTCAGAGCTGAGATTTTTTTTAAGACTATCCATTCCATGGTATGAATAATAGTGTAAAAGAACAAAGCGACAAAAAATTCTGAAAGCAGAAGTGGAATTTTTTGTTTAAACTACATTTTTGTGTTATTCAGGTAAATTTAACGAATTTTCATTATTTGTAACGGGCTTAATGATGAAATAATTGGATTATATTCGATTTCCCTTATACATAGTTACTGTGAAGGATTATATCATATAAACAAGCTTAAAGTTATTGTTAGATTAATTGCACTGAGAAAATCAGAAAAAGTATATGTTAATATATACTAGAATTAAAAGTATGTGGTAATATATTTCCAATAGTTGCAAATCATAAGCCGAAATAAATATTAAACAACAAATTGACTAAAGTAAACCATAGTTAAGGTGAAAGGAGTGAGTAAGAATAAAAATGAAATAAGCAAAAACTTACGTGGGAAGCATGGCCAAAGAGTTTTGGATACCCAATCCAACTGACAAATACATTTACTGGGATAAAACCGTGCCAGAACATCAGTGAATTGGATCGAAATATTTCCTTTATATGCAGCAAAACAGCTTCCTTTTTTTCTTTCACCAGTTACTGAATTAATTTCACACAGACATTGGACGTAGACCTGGTGATATCGCCGATTTGAGACTAAGGAAGCTCTGGTTCGTCGCGATTTTGCAGCTGAAAAAAAAAAAAATGGATTTTGCAGAAACTTCTGGATTAATTACATTTATTTTTTTTGATGAATGAGCTAGTCCGTTCTTTTTTTTATTTTTTTTTGCAACCTTCAGATTGTGCTTAACCAATAGTAATGGAAAGAGAAATGAGCAAAGTTGTGCAAATTGCAGATAAATAGAGCTCGTGGAAATTTCATTCTTTTTTCAACTCTAATTTAAAATTATGTGTGTTTTGACCTGCGGGAAATAAATTATTTCTGAAAAGTTAATTCAATGTGAATTCTCTAAATCACTTTCTGAAACAATTACTTCAGTAACCATTTTAGAACAAAATTTGTATTTCTCTTACAAATAGTTAAAGGTGGCAATTAACTGAGGAAGATTAAGAGTCGGCAGTACTAATCATTTTACAGAATACGTAGCTTTCTGAAAATTTAAGGAAAAAGACCAACTTCAATGTATGCATATCTTACCTTCTTTTCGAGCATTCTCAATTGCGGCAGAAATACCATATGATTCTAGATGATTTTGAGCGATTGAAAAAGCATCCATCTGAATAGTGAGGCATGGTTTTAAAAAAAACTTTTAAATATTCGATGGTTGGGTGCGGTCGAAATTTCAAAAACCAAAGGTTTCAACCATTAGTAGATTCCGGAAATCAGAACAAAAATGATGACTAAGTTTGTAAAAAAGAGTGAAAAATACCATTGCTTTCGTAGGTCCTTCCTTAGCAATCATCGATGCTTTATAAGGATTTATATTGCACAATGTTATCGAAGGAAATGGAGCATTTTCGAATTTGAGCTTAAATGCAAATTTAAACTACCATCTCGTTTTCACTTATTTTTTTATTTGCTATTGAAATGGATTAAGAAAAGTTGCTCAGGCCCTCAAAAGAGACCAGTACATGTTATGAGCTAATGCAAATGACCAAGAGAAACTACCAATTTAAAAAATTAATCGGACGAAAAATTGCATTGAATTTATCTTGACCTTCTATTATGAATTCTTTTAAAATTAGCATTTATTTTTAACTGAAATTTCAGTAAGTATTCATTTTCACTTTCTTTTCCTTGCTTCAGTTTTTCAAATATATTTGTATTTGCTTTAAGATATTCTTTGTAATAGATAGGTAAAGTAATCGCTTACATCAAGATCAACGGTTTTGGGATAAGTTCGATATCGTCGTATAAGCAGAATGATTTGGATAAGGAGAGCGCAAAAGCAAATAATAAATGCAGTATACCAAATGATACGCCATTTAGTATTTGAAGCAAGAGCAGCATGCGATATGCCATGGAAGGTGCTCTGTCGCTCGAAACGAAGCACAATCTCTCGATAATTGAAGTGTCCCCGGACACGGATTTTCCCAAATCCTGAAAACTTTTTGTTGCTCTTTTTCTTCTTTTTCTGCTTCATCCAACCCACTTCGACCCTTCCTTGTTCCTAAAAAGAAATGGAAAATAATATCAGGCTTTAATCTTCCAATAAGTTTAATTCATCGCTTTCGTTTTATATTTCTCCATGATATGTGCTGTTATACCTTAGTATCTTTTTTTCTTAATTTTTGAGGATTTCCAGATATGTCAGTCTTCGATATGGCGAAAATTTGATATTCTCACTTCTTTCCTAATTTACAGTGGTTAAAATGTCCCCGAGCACATATGTTTGACGAACCTGTGCAACATTTTGTGCCTATAAGGTAACCTGTCTTAGAAGTTCGTTGCACTGAATAAGTGGCAGAAAATGCAGATAATTTACCACTTGCTTGAGTATGAATCTATTTAAATGTTTATTTTATATCTGAATTAAAAAATAGTACTTGAATCTAAAAGGCAGTGGCACCGTTTAAAATGCAGATATGATGTCTGTAATGAAAATAATGGTATTAGTAATTTCTGCAGTTAAAGTTAGATGTATTGGTGATAACAACGATAACAGTGATTATGATGATTTAATCGGTGATGAAAGTGGGAATATTCAATAGATTTGTGATAAATAGGTACAGTAAAGAAAGTTATAACAGTGTTCGCTATCATACTGATATCTTACTGAAGAGACGATTAGTTGCAGGAGCGATCAAAGTGTTTTTTTTTTTCTTTAAATCCAAATGCAAAATAAGCAACTTAGGTAGAATATACATCAGGATATTTAATTAAGAATAATGAGCAATTACTGCCTTCTTATTTCAAGGTAATTGGTTAATGATGGTGATAATGATAATGGTGACTACTTGTTTTAACGTTCCATCTTTTACTTTGTGGTCTATGTCGAAATATATAATCAGTCATGAGTCAGTTAAAGTAATAGACTGATTTGAATGATTCTTATTTCATTAAACGAACTACTTCTGCGTTAAAAATCTCGTTGATACGACTACAATTTTTGTAGGTCATTAAATGAAAAGCTGTTTGTTCATAGTCTATTTATCATTCATCCACCAAATGTACAATGTACTGCATAGCTAATACTTAAAGGATAAATAAATAGGTAGCAAATGAAATAAAGGTGCAATTATTTGAGCAAAACAGATGATGATGAATGGTGGTGCTAATGGTGAAAAAATATAGTCCAAGCAGGGTGTTGGAACACATACATACACACACACACACACACACACACACATGAACATAAGCATTACTGGATATGCTTTTCTTCATCCATTTGTTTTCACCTTCGACTAATTTTTTCGTAATTATTGCTTGGTTCACTTTTCTACTGATTGATTTGTTATTAGTGTTAAGAGACGTACTTTTTAATGCTATGAGGTAGTTCATCTCGCTCACCGGCATTAATACAATTTTTTCTTTTTCTTTTTTTTTGACGTTTTTTAAATTATCTGCCAATTGGCCAATAGCGACGCTGAGCTATTTACGAAAATGAACCTTCCGAAAGTTTCTTGTTTTTGAAATAGTAACTCTAATTAATTGCATATCATTCTATACAAAACATATCTTTCCATGATGTGATATATGCTACCCATTATTTTACGTGGTTCCATAATTGATTTGAATCTTACAAGTTTGGAATTATTATGCAGGTCAATATTTTATATGCTATATAAATTTTGTATTCACTTATATTCTTTAGCGATGAATTCTCTTTTTTTGGATCTCATTTTTTCTTTTTCTAATTGAATTTATCGTTTCAAATTAATTTTTTAATGCTACACTTCAAAATTAAACTTTTTAAAGCACGTTGAAAATATCAAGAGTAGATTTTTGTACTGCATCGCGATGTTCTACCATACTTTGCTGTTTGTAAGGTTTTTTTTTTATAGACCGAATGATATATCGAAGAGATATTCGTTACCGTTAATTTTTAGATATAGTTTCAATTAAAATTAAATTGATCTTAATTTTTTTTATACCGAAAAATTAGTTGAAATTTTTGTGCTCACTTTTAAATGCTGTGAATTAATATACCAACTTGTTACTTCATCACTTAATTTAAGTTACAAGACATTGAAAAAAAGACAGCATTTTGGATAAATGAATCAAAAATAAAATTCCAATAATGCATGAAAAATTATGTAATCTGGAAAAGTTGAAGTACTTTTTTAAAAAGCTTCGGGATGTGATAAGTTTCTTGATATCATCTGTGTTTTATATCTTGATATCGAGGCACTTTCAGGTTGGATCCTTTTACTTTTGCTATTTACTAAAATTGAAATCAAACTTAAAATAATATATATATTGTCTATAGATGACAGTTTCATTATCATCATTTACTTTCTTCAACATTAACAGGTTGACATGATCTGCCCCTTTTCAATCATTATTGCTTCCAGAAATAAGTGTTTCGTTCTTTAAAATTTCTAAAATATTTCCTATAGTAAATGATGCGTTACTAACATACCGCTTCCTCTGGATATCCGTCGAAGATGATTCCAGGCCAATTCTTTATAAATGGATTTTGATCGTCCAATCTTAAAATTAGTACTCTCCCTTTGCTGTACCGTTGATGATTCCTGGAATGTAACTGTTGTTTGCTGCTATTTTCCTCTTAATTTGCATATTTTTGTTTAAAATCATCGCATGAGAGAAAATCTGATGGAAATACTTAGAGACCGCGTCATGTAAAACTCGGCAGGTATGTTCACCAAGCAAACTGATAAGGCAATGCTTTTCATACTAGTTAGTTAAACGGCTCAAATCAGTGGACAAAAGAAATAATTTCGGGTTCTTTCGTCAATACTTGCTGGGGTGCGATATCTTGCAGAGAGTTCTTATCAGAAATTGCACCGCGCTAAATGGCTTGGTTTGTCTATATATCATCATTTGTCAAAGATAATGGATAGATAACGGAGTTAGAGCACAAGAGCAAAGAAAAAGGAAGCAAAGTTGATATAGTGAAGAAAAAAAAAACGAAGTGTGCTGATGGAACGTTTTTGAATCTGACAACTAGCACCTTATCAGAAACTTGAGAAATTCTGTCAGTAAACTTTCACAGGGAAAGAATTTTGATAAAGCTTTTAAATTTTACAACAGTCGAAAGGTAAAAATACTGCTTTTTCTGAACCTTATTTTAATCAGAATCGTTTCTATCCTTATGCATTATTGTTTATTTTCTTGATCAATTATCCTGTTCGTTTTACTAGTTTGGTTTTGTTTACTTTTTGAACTTAGATTTTGTAAACTTTTCTACACTTAAAAAACTTTTAAACAAATTAAAATTTTTACTCATCGGCGACTTGAATTACTCAAGTATTCAACCAAGGGATCAGAAAATGAAAATCTTCTATTAACTCTCTCCATTTATTTAATCGGAGTAAATTAAGTTGGATAGGTTTTACTGCACTAACATTTCAAACACCCATCCATGTAAAGTTATTTGAGCATAAACTCATGCATATTGAAATGAAAACTTCCATTCACCAAACGATAATTGACGCTCACATATAGTTGATTTTTGAAATTAGGCATTACATTTTACTTTGAACTATTGTTTAGTAATTAAAAAAGATTTTTATTTCTTTAGTAATTAAAATTGATGTCAATAAATAGAGAAAGCCGCTGAAAGAGAATTAGGATAGTAAGTGTTATATGCTTAGAAAAAACAAAACAAATTTGTAATGAGTGATAAATTAAATTAGTACAAACCTCCATTCTTGTCTAATTTACTTGATACTTGCGATACGATGGTTGCATTCCATGGAAATTGTAGTTCGTTGAAGAAAGAAATAAAATCTGTACTTACTTAACCATGACCAGCAAGTTTTATAGGACAATAATTGGATAAATAAGATTCGCTGGACAATTAAAATAAAATGCAGCAATAGCAACAATATTACTGAAAATGGTAGAATTTGGTCATCTAATTCAATTGCAAAAAAGATGAATAGCACAGTATAGTAAGGTAATAATAGTGTTATCAGATTAGAGAACTGAACGAATCTAGCTCACAGTTTCTTTTTTTTATCACTACACAAGTAACAACTGGAGGAGCTTCAGACTGAAATGCACAGCAGAACTAATTACATTTGCTTAACACTCCTGGTGTTAACATTCCGCTGCTGTTTACATATTATCAGAGAGAAAAGAACGATAATATGATCCGCAAAGAACAGAGATAGTTGAAAAAAGATATCATTCAAATAATGTACAACTTTTCATAATTTTTTTTTTTTTTCTTCAGAACTTCCTGTTAAGCATATATTGATAACAAACATTTCATTTTCTATTTTTATAATTAAAACATTTCTATTTTAACCATGAATGACTCTAGGAAAAAAACATGAATTGGCTTCATTTAAGAACAATGATTTGCTAGCTTATTTCCTAAAGCAGTCTAGGCTAGATACGTCCTAAGTTTTGGGCACGAATTGTTTTTCTGAATAATGAGCAGTGTTTCTGGTGTCTCGTGTCGATGAATGTGTGATTTCTTGTAAATGATTTTTTAGAAATCTTTCTTATTTGTCTCTTTTTGTTTGTTTGTTTGTTTGTTTTTTTGTTTTGCTTAAATTTTGGAGTTAAATTTGGTAGAATTTATATACTTAAAATTGTAAAACGCAAAAAATCGGTTTTGAGAAAATAGGGACAATCAGAATGAAGAACAATACATCACTGAAGCATGAAAATCTTGAGAGATGAAGAAATGATAATGTAGTTTTAGAAACACATAAATATGTTACTATAATTTTTTTGTGTGTTAAAGCAAAATTAGGGATATGAGGGTCTAACGGTTCGCTCTTTAGCTTTAATTAGAGTCTACAATCTTTCAAAACGGTGCGAAGATTCAGACAGAATTTCTATTAGCTTGATTGTTCATTTTGCTTTTAATTTTGATAATTAAATCAAAAGCTATTTGATAGTTGTTTGAAAAAGCTATCAGAAAATCCATGTTGTCAATTAACTGTATTAATTCCTATCATTCAACTTTCTCTCTAAAAATGAACTATAGCGCAGAAAACGTTATTCAAAGAAGTAGATTAATTCATTAGCTCACTAAGGAGAAATGAGATGAAATATTGGAGTGGCGTACTGAAGGAAAAGCTTCTGCAAATTAATCTGTTACGAAAATTGCTTTACTGCGAAATAAATAGCGATATTCCAGCATTCAGCACAAAATGGGGTTCAAGCGTGGATCAATGATGTTTACCAAGCACGATCTGTGGAAGAGACTTCTCGAAGTCTTTTTCAGACGTTGTACGTTGGTGAAAACACGTACGGACTTTTTGCATTACCAGCTTTTATAGACAGTCGTACGATAACCGTAGTACCGAAGTATCTTGGTCCGCCACTGCTAGAAGGTCCATTACCCGTTGTAGTTGAGGTTTGCTGTATTCGAATTTAAATTTTATGTTTAAAAATTGGAGGTTTATTTTTTGATCTTTCCAGAATTTGTAGCCTAAAGAAAGCCTAAAGAAAATGGGATTGTCAAGAAATGATCATTTTCGCTGCCATACAAAATAACTTTACCTTCCTTTTCAGAACGAAGATCCACAGACACAGATCAATCCATCGACTCATCGTGTTGCTTTGATCAATTTGGATATAGCAAAAATTACCCACAAGACTGTCGATGGAGAGTTTTTAGTGTTGGGTGCGTATTACTTATCCAAAATTATTGAAAATGATAAAATTAGTAGGTTGATAATGTCTCAGTAACAAAATATTTTCGAATTTCATATTTTCTGAATTGGTCAGATTTATAAATTTTTCTAATTTTTTCACTTTTTTCAAATTTTTTCATTTTAAATTTTACTGTTTAATGTAATAACTATAAATTGCTGATTTTTTCCTTTTTCAGGCTATCACGAACCGCCTCAGTTGACTCAATCACAACTTATTCCACAGCGAATTATTCGTCATCAACGATATCCTTCCTTATCGTTCGTTACGACGGATATGCAAACCGAAGAAGTTTTATTTGTTTTTCATAAATTTAATAATATTGAACTGATGGCAAAAATGACATTGTCTATTCTCTTTTTTCTGTGCTGTTTCAAGTTCTATTATGAAGCGTCGCGTAAGCAAATTACCTGGGCTACAGTCCTTAAATATTTGAATTCTAGAAAAGTTATTTATATATATAAACCATTGTTTTATCTTAGTGTATTTAGATACCTGCTCAGACTGCAAAAAGCGATGAATACGCTTTGTGGAGGAATAATCACTTGGTTATAGTTATCGTTATTTCATTTACCACACTATTTGCCATTGCCTGCTGGTTCTTTATGGAGAAGGTTTGTTTGAAATTGACTTTTATAAGAAAACTTAACATCTCGAATGGACGTAACTTCAGGAGGCTGTATTGTATTTTAACAGGAAAGATCACGAGGATTAAAAGGAAGGGGAATTTTTCTATATACATATCAACAGATACTTCCAATATTAATGCTAAGCTATTGTATTAGTCTCTTTCTTTTAGACTGTTTCTTTATGCAGTTTTTTTGCGGATCAAGTTTTGCTTTTTCACAAATTTTAACAAAAGCCATTTACAAAGTTTCTTCTCACTAGAGATTTCGTTTGTGTGTGTCATAGGATTCTCTGCAGATTTTTATGACAACTGTAGATGTTATTTTGTTAACGTATTTAATAATTGGTATGTTAAGGTTTTTTCATCACCAAATCTTTAGAACTATTCTGTTTCTTAGATTAAGCATCTATCCTTGTTCTGATATATGAGCGTCTTTTCTTCATAAGAATAGCAAGCAGCTGATTTTCTAACTTTTGCAGATGCACTTTTTTATGCATTGTTATTTTGAAAGCTGGTTGTATGGTCACTTTTGAAAATCTCAGGAAAACCTTTATTTCTAGCTTTAGTGTCCTACAAAATGCGAAAAATTGGTTTATTTCATTGTTTTGGTTATTTGTTTTCATAGGAATTGGGTTTTGATGCATTATGTAACAGTTAATAAATAATGCTTGTAATCTATCTGAGATTTATTACTTCTCTTGCATCTTCCAAAACATAGGGAAAAATTAAGATTGTTAATTTATGACAAATCTTTTCTTCTTTGTTGAAGGAAGTTTGCGAGAACATGATCTATTATTTATGGATTTATTAGATTGTCAAAGCAAAGAAAAGCATAACAAACAGTAAAGTAAAAAAAGTAATAAAAGGCACCAGGAAAATTTTCTCACGGCAGCGGGTAACAGTTTTCAAGAGATCGAGGTATGAGTGGTTTCTGCTTTTCTATTTCTCCCAGATTATCTTATCTGTAAGAGCTTTGCTATTTACAGCTACGGAATTATGAACAGGAAAACTCTCCAGAACAGCGAACAAATTACGCACAAACATCGAAAAATTTTGGAAATTTTTTGTATGCGCGGCAATTACAGCGGCTTCCCCATGGTTGGCTGCAAACTGGAAATATCATGTATAATCCAGAAGATCGTCTCGGACATGGATGCGAAGGAACTGTTGTATTTAGGTTAAAAGCCTTGCTCATTGAGTCTGTCTTGTGATTGAACCCAATTATCTGGCGGTTGTGTAACATATATAACATGTCAGAAATATCAAAGTTCATATATTGTATTCATGATTATGTGGACATCTTGGAGATGCTTCTAGTGCTTACCATTTTATTAATGATCGGATCTCATGGATCTCAAAAAAGAGTCTTATAAAGATGGCATAATATTTTTTAAAAGTTTTGAAATTTCACACATAACTCGAAGTTTGATTTAAAGGGGTAAATTTGATGGTAGAGAAGTAGCTGTAAAACGAGTTATTGCGGATATTCGACTTGCAGACCGCGAAGTTGATCTTTTACGTGAAAGTGATGCCCATCGAAATGTTATCAGATATTTCTGTATGGTTGGTATAGTTTAAATCTCACTTCTGTCCTTTATTTCTTGTCTTAAAATCTTTGCTGCTTATCAACTATAGTTTCCCCCAATTCAAGCGCAAGTGTAAACCCGTAATTTTTAGGAATCTGATAGTAATTTTCGCTATATTGCACTGGAGTTATGTGATTACTCATTGTTTGACTACGTGGAAAGAAAGGAAATTCGAGAGCAGTGTCCTCTTATCCCGTTGGAAATTCTGCATCAAGCAACTGAAGGGCTTGCATATCTTCATAGTATAAATATAGGTCTACTTTTACTTTTTTCAAAAAAATTTCAAAATTTCGACATATATCTTATCTATGGAAGTTTTTTAATATAAAATAAATTGTTTATCGACTCCATTATTCCTTCCGTCTCATATACTTCTTAGTATTATCTTTCTTGCTGAAACATTGACCGAACTGTCTGTCATCTAGATGCAAACGGAATTTTGGAATTTTTTAATTATTATTTTTTGTGATTTTTTGTAGTGCATCGTGATATGAAACCGCAAAATGTACTCCTATCAAGAGGAACCAGGCAGGATTCAGTACGAGCGCTGATCTCAGATTTCGGTCTTTGTAAGAGACTTCAAGCAGGTCGTAATTCCTTATCACGAAAATCCGGTCTTATAGGCACTGATGGTTGGGTCGCACCAGAAGCTTTGATATCAGATGCAAGTATTGTAAGTATTTTGTTCAGTCTTTCTACTCATTGTTATTTATAATTCATTCCCTAGTGTTATGATATGCAATTTAATGGCAGTTTTTGCTTCTGTATCGTACTGCAATGAAAGAGAGTTTTCGATTCGATTTGAGGTTTTTACATTGCATGTTAGTTTCGATGTAAAGTTGTAGGCGGCAAAAGCCAAATGTTTTAAATTAGTTTTCCTTGTTGACGCCTTTTATAATCAGCTTTTTTCGAATTAAGACTTGCTACTCTTATATTTCGTTCTCCAGTGATTTATCTTGCAAGAAGAATGATTTAAAATGCTAAATTCATTTATATTTATCACGTCGTCTCTGGTACATGGCACTAGATTTATGTAAATAACATCAGACTGAAAAAAAATTAAACTGTACATAATATTCACTATGCACATTTTCAGATCTCCTGGAAAACCTTATTCCTTATTTCATTTATTCCTCAATTCTTATGATTTTTAGACTTGCGCTGTTGATGTCTTTTCGCTTGGTTGTATTTACTATTACGTATTAACAAATGGAAGTCATCCATTTGGAGATGAGTTGAAACGACAAGCAAATATAATGCAAGGAGAGTACAGCCTAAAATTATTGAACATGACCGGTTGTGTTTTAATTTAACTACATTAAGCTCTATTTAAAAGTTCACGTATTTCAAGTGAAATCATGACTGTACGTTATTTTATTAACGGAAAACGTCGACAGTATACTTAATCGAGTGATTAGCTAGTTGCAGTTTATTTGAAATGAAATATTTCGATGTATAAGTTTATTTATTTTCTCTTTTAAACGCCTTTTGAGCATATTGCTGCATACTATACTCGTTAATCCCAAGCTCGTTAATTAAGGTAACTTGATGGCAGTTGCTTTGATTGAATCAATGTTGCGACGTGATCCACTACTTCGCCCGGTATCGGCTACTCTAGCAATACATCCATTTTTCTGGAACAAAGAACGTCAACTTAGATTTTTCATGGTAAGATTTTCGTATTTCCAGTAAATCTTACTGCTTAGTAAGATATATACTAGATTGTTTTGGTCAATTTGCTAAAAAAGTCATGACTGCACATATTACCTTTGCTTTCCGATAAACTATTGTTTTTGGCATTCAACCCATCATGATAACTAGTTGAAACAAAATGAAGCTTGAAACTTATCACGACACTTTCCTTTTCATTTAATGTACCAGTGGATTCTGTTTAGGATGTCAGTGATCGTATCGAGAAATTAAGCGAACATAGCTTTTTATTACGTCGTATAGAAGAAAATGCTCGCTCTGCTATCGGTTTTAATTGGCGTCAAGCTATTTGTCCCGTCCTTGCAGTTGGTTTGTTTGGTTTTTATTCCAAACTTCTACTCAAAATCTACAATTGGAAGTTCAAGTTAAAAAAATAAGTAATGCTTATATTTTTAGCTTCGACACTCACAAATTGATGGTCCACCTTCTCACGTAATTATGAAATGAGTTATGATGGTGTTTTTGTTGATGTTTTTTTTAATGAATTATAATCATGTTTTTGTCGCATATAATTCTTTATGGTAGTATTTAAGTTTCCGAATTCAAATATTTGATTTTAATTCGTGGCTACTGTTGGATCATAAATATTATGCGTCTGTATAATTAAGTCATACTCGTTTAGTTAATAAATAATCAAGTAATATTTTATTTAATATACTTAATAATTAAAATCGAATATGAAAGTTATTTTTATATATGAAAAAGAATTTGAAAGTTAATTTTTGTGTAGAACTATGGAAATTGATTTTTTAGTATTCCATTGTTTTTTCAAAATTTTCTTGATCTAACTGTTTTATGATAAGTTGATTGTTTCTGATTTCCGGCCTGTTTATTGTAGATTTACGCAAATTCCGAACTTACAAAGGCAATAAAGTTCGAGATCTATTGCGAGCAATGCGGAACAAGAAACACCACTATCAGGAATTACCTACAGAGGTGCAACAATCGCTTGGTCAAGTTCCAGATCAGTTTGTTACCTATTTCACAGATAGGTTTCCGCAGGTGAAACATAATTATAGGTTTCTCTATGCTGATATTTATTTTCATGACTTGATATAAGATGTCAAAGCAATCCGGATTCCGGTTATGTCTTTAATCCTTACTAGGGTTTGGATAATTTCCATTTTTGTTATTTTGTTACTTCATCTTTCAGTTATTGCAACATACCTACGATGCAATGATTTGTTGTGCTAACGAGCATGCCTTCAGTAGGTATTATTCAGAAGAAGCGCGCAAAAAAGCTGATGAATTTGTAGCTGAAATGGCGGCAAGTGAGATTAAAGAGTCCGAACTTGACAGGCAAGAGGTGGAATTTGAGAATAAAAAAAGAGAAAGCATCAGCAGATTAGACGATAAAGAAACAGAAACTGTCGATGAAGAAAATCCCGACGGAAAGATTACAACTGATATAAGCTTACAAGAAGTAGAAATAGTTACGGCAGAAGATCCCACAGCAATTGTGGATAATCGTCGGAATCGAAAACGTAGGAAACGTCCTAAACATTATTAATCGAGTCTCTTTATCCTTTATATAAGCAAGCTTTTAGAGTATCTCTCATTCATTCCTTTCCCACTTTATAAATTCTGTAATGCTTTCCATATGTTGTAATATTTCAGGAAAACATTTCAAAACTTGATATTGTTGTTGAATAAAATGTCAATCTAAGTTTTGCAATGAATTGTATATAAAATTTTACTCTAATTCATACTCATTCTTTAATTTGCATTTATAATTATTCCTTGTAAAAATAACGACATAATCATATGTTGAGAACATTAATGAAAAATAAAATAATGTAACATTGTAATCGAGAATTACTAGTGAGTGTTATATAATGCTTTTTCGAGTAGTCGTAAAAATGAACACGTTGGATGCTTTTAGTAATACTCTGTACTTAAGCTCGACTCGTTTTTTAAATAGAATAATATCTCTTTCTGTGTTGTAACTTGAAACAAAGTATAGCCATCTAATGGTGATTGTCTTTTATTGAATACTTGATTAATCAAATGTTTGAGTAATTTGTTGTTTCTCTTCTCTTTTAGATCTTAAATAATTTTTACTAATTTCTTTTTTTTTTTTGTAAGCTCAGTTCATGTCGCGTTATTTTATTTGTGCCTTTTTTAAAATAACTTTTTACACCATTGTTTGGAAAAAATTTTGAAGTACTAAATTACTAATAATTTGTTTTGAATCCATGTATTATTGCTGTATTGGTAAGATTAGATTATTTTGCTTGCAAATTACGTGGTGAACAATTGTTTCTAATCTATAGTTTATGAAGCTGAATTTTTTTTACTAAGAACTCCCTCGCTTTTTTAAGTTGTTTCTCAAGTTCTGTTGTAACTTTTTATGGATGAAAATGAAGGAAATGGTGGAAGCTTTTGACATATTTGTTGAGAACTATTACGAAAGTGATTTGATCCTTCTGTAAATCTTAATAATTTCTATTGATAGACTGGTTTGATTCGTTTTAACGCTCAGTGGTTTGCGCAAGAGTTCTATCGATTAGCAAGGCTTTGAGTTCTTAGACAGTTCTTAATTTAGTTGTATTAGGGTTTGAAGTTTTCCATTAATTTTCACTTGAATTTATTTTGGATATATTTTTCACTTATTTTCATTTGTTGGGGAATTATGCATTGTGGAATAATGGTTTTTAAGAATTTTCAATTATTAATTTGTTGTTTTCTTGAATTTATTTTATTCATTTAAAGGATCTGTATGATTTAGATAATTTCTGAAGTCGAGTAATTTGAGAGACATTAATTCTGAAATTATTGGAAGGAGATTTTTATAATTTCAGAAAAGAATTAAATCATAATAGTTTTAGTAAATTTAAACTAAATTTAAGACTTGATTCGGGCAGTATCTATTCATGTTACTCTGGCTGAATTGTTTTAAAAGTTGTTTAATTTATTATTAATGAAATTCATGAGAATGTTCATATTTTCTTATTTTTTTTGGGAGATTTTCATGAGAAATTGAGTTGAATGGAATGCATAATTGAATAATAAAATAGATAGACGTTAGCACGTAATATATAAGTGTGTAGCATGTTGTTTACGCTTAATCTGGAATATTTTTTGGGTAAGTGGACTTTGTTGCTAAATTTTCGTTGTACAGAATCGTACAGATACGAAAGGGGTCAAGAATGAGTTCGGGTACGTAAGAAGATTTGTAAGAGAGAGGATATCGCTAGTAAGGGAGGATGAGAGATATGCTTGAGTAGGACTTTTGAAGAATTGCATTTTTAGATTTGTAGAGAAGAATTTATTATTAATGAAATGCATGCGATCATTGTATATGTCTTAGTTTTTTGAGAAATTTTCATAAAAGACTGAATTGAATGGAACGCATAATTGAAGTAATGAAATAGACCGTTAGTAATTCCTACCTGTAAGGAAGAAAAAAATTACTCAAACTCTTTAATTAGAGACTTTCAGGATTTAATGTTTTTCAATAAGTGAGGTAGGGATGTGCTTCTACATGTTGCTGTTTTAAGTTCTATCTCAAATTTATCTGTTTCGTTATTATCAACTAATTGGAGGATAGAGGTACATGAAGCATCATGGACAAAATTTAAACGTTTCACTAACTAACAGACTATATCAAAAGAATGGTAAGCTTCAATATTTATCTTTCATTCATTCAAGAAGAGTTGTGATTTACCGGGTAATAGAAAATTTAGAAGTAACTTTATTGAAACAAACAATATTAATTCATTGAAATGATACGTCCAAAGTGAATGTTTGCATATAAAGCATAATAAAATTGACACATGGAATAAAACCATATGTTCCGATTTATTTATGATGCTGAATTGAAATTCTGAAAGAACTAGAAGCAGATGTGAAGTTACTTTAAAATATTGAAGTACTGGAATTATATTCTCCTTCTATGTTGATGTGTACAACTCATTAGTTCCCAAAATAAAGCAATATATCTAAAAAGAAACAGGTAATATTAATACTTTATTTTACTTTCAAACCATTCATTGGTTTAAAAGATCTATAAAAGTTATTACTGTTGACTCGATGGACTTTGCTGAAAGTTCGCTAAAAAGAATTTCATTGATTTAAAATTTTTGCGAAATTTGTCTCTCACTTTTTGATTATTCTTTCTCCATATTTCCGACTATTTCTGGCACACGAATAATAAAAAATACAATATGCTATATACCAATAAACTCATTCTTAAAGAGCCAAACCAATAACTACCCTATCGGAGTTGAAATTACTTATGGTGCTTAGGTCAGTAACTGAGCTTTCATGAATGCCTTTATCACCATATTAACGCATCATTGTATGTCGGCCAGCTCATATCGCGAAACTCGAAATAATCTCTCCAATCTCCAAATAACTTACAAATATATCAAATAAAATTGTATTAATCCATAATACTAAAATTCGTTGTAATTGAACGTTAGAAATGTAAAACTGTTCCAAATTATACATCACGTAAGCAGTTATTATTTCAACACTCACCTTCCATTGTAGTTGAGCTTATCTGCTTGTCTATACGTTTTCAACTGATAACAAAGGGTATGTGCATTGTTTAACATGTTGAAAATTACTTCTTTGTTCATATTGTAAAGGTCTCCTAGCTGATAGTCATCTTTTGGAAAGCTACAATATTAAACCCATCTCTTACTATATTAAGTGCAGTGATCATCTGATAACTTCTTAACTCAATAATCACGCTGTTGTTGCAGGTCAATACCCACTATAAGGATTTAAACCATTCGTCTTATTCAGTTTTCATCAGTTTTTTCCTCATCAGTAAGCTACAATCGACTACTCTCCCTCACCTAAAATTCAATTCATTTCCCCACCAACTTATTCATTTATCCATTTTCATCTTATTCGTAGATACTTTATGAAACTATCCGTACAGATTAATACCTATATACTGTGGTTGTTCGCAAATAAATTTGTTACAACAGACCTATCATTCAACGCATTCATCCACACTAACTACAATAACAACAAGGAAGACCTTTGAGCATACGAAAGTTCAGTTTGACTTTGAGCCACGTTATATTCAGACTGAATCCCAAATTCCACGACACCTCGCGGATGTTCACCTTAACTCATTTTCATTTTCGCCAGTTTCATCCCCTCGAGAAATACGGCACACAAATAAACGCAACTATACAAGTTTATTACCTCATTAACTGCACTTATCATCATGAAAAAAAAAATCAAGATGGACTCCACCAATCCACCCGGGTATTAAGACTAATGAAAATCACCCCTTACCTCGCAAGAACTACTTAGGAAAACACGGAATATGCCAAAAAAAAAAAAAAAGAAAAAAACCAAATACCTCGATGGAAACATCAGCGTCACCTCTTCTTTCAACAAGATAATCAAATTTCTTTTCAATTTTTCGCTTCTCTTTGTCACTAATTTCGCAATTCATGATCTGTTTTAGCTTTTTTGCGTCATTCTACCATCATACCTGCCCAATACAGTTCACCTATACTACACACATGTGTTATCATTCCACAACGAAATCCTACTACTATTGTATCTTGTAAAACTCAGAGGCACAAAAAACTGCTCCAATCTTCTGTGGCATCTTCTGTCAGGGAATACCGTCCACTGTCCACATAAAATTAGTACTTTATTTCAAATTGCAACTTTCAGAGAATCATGATTACTGTTTTCCCAACTTTTTTCACGTGATTTCTGCCTTACGACTTTGCATTAGGAATCATAACTTTTGATCGTAATTTATTGAGAAGTACAACAATGAGATTTGTCGCTATAATTCTTTAAAATTTGCTAATATATGTCGAAAGCGAGTAACAAAATAAAATGTAACAACATAAAAACATGGAAAAGACGATAAATAAAATACTGTAAAAGTTCTTTTTTCACAAAGCTGACACTTTGTGCTCACTCTTCCTGTTCAATGTATTCCGATTCACCTTCCTGAAGATCACCTTCTTCATCAGCCGTCGCATCTTGATATTGTTGATATTCGGACACCAAGTCATTCATATTACTCTCCGCTTCCGTGAATTCCATTTCATCCATACCTTCGCCAGTATACCAATGCAAGAATGCTTTACGTCGGAACATGGCTGAAATCATTAAAAAATCGGATCGACTTAAGTATAACCTCCATAGAACGTAAGTTCCGAGCGATTCGGAACTAACATATTAAAAATGTTCACCTTTTGCATAAAACTCATAATATGGCAAAAAAAATCATGTAACCTACACATACCCAATTGTATCTCTTTTCAATCTTGCCAGAAATTTAGTTTTTAGCTATCAAACTAAGCTCAAATGAGATGGGATTAATAAGTTCACCAGTAAATTGTTCGGAAATTCGCTTGAAAAGTTCTTGTATAGCTGTTGTATTTCCAATAAATGTTGCGCTCATCTTTAATCCACGTGGTGGAATGTCGCAAACAGCTGTCTTCACGTTATTTGGAATCCATTCAACGAAATACGATGAATTCTTATTCTGTACTTGCATCATTTGCTCGTCTACTTCCTAAG